CATGCGCAGTTGTGAGTAACGCAACTGTGAGTATTGTCTTCGGTGAAGCTCCGTATGGGCCCATGGAACGTGAAGAATGTACTGACATGGGCGCGATGAGCGCATGCGAACGCAAGCACTGGGGCCTTCGGTGGAGTTCCTGTGGGGCCACGTAACGCGGGCACATGCGAACGTAGCCACTGGGGCCTTCGGTGGAGCTACCTATGAGGCCACGAAACATGTGAGGGGTGTGTCGAAATGGGTGCGGCTGGCGCATGCGAACGCAGCCACTCGGTGGAGCTCCCTAATGAGGCCACGAAACGTGTGAGGGGTGTGCCGAAATGGGTGCGGCAGTCCATGCGAACGCAGCCACTGTGGCCTTCGGTGGAGCCCCCTGTGGGGCCACGAAGCGTGAGGGTTGGGCCAAAATGGATGCGGCGGGCGCATGCGAACGCAGCCAGTGCGGCCTTCGGTGGAGCCCCCTGTGGGGCCACGAAGCGTGAGGGTTGGGCCAAAATGGTTGCGGCGGGCGCATGCGAACGCAGCCAGTGCGGCCTTCGGTGGAGCTCCCTTATGGGGCCACGAAACGTGTGAGGGGTGTGCCGAAATCTGTGCGGCGGGCGCATGCGAACGCTGCCACTAGAGTCTTCGGTGGAATTCCCGATGGGGCCACGAACAGTGTGAGGGGTGTGCCGAAATGGTTGACTGGTACGGAGGGCAGGAGCAGGGATGGGAGGAGGGAGGGTGGCAGGAGGAGGAGGAGTAGGACGCGGGGCGCTGTCTCTTCAAAACGAAGACCGAACACCACAGAATGGTTGGGAACAACATAAGGAAACGATACGGGGATACCAACTCAAGGGGGGGGGGAACATCGACCCGTAATCCGCGATGCATCATCGATAGATCGGCGATAGGCCCTCGTCAGCGGAATCGCACCTTCCAAGACAGGGTGGGCTATCGGGCCCCTATCAATGATGGATTCGGGGGCGCGCAAACATGGATTAGCGATCCATGGACTTGGCGCGCGATCGCCAAATCCGTGGATCGGGGGAGATGCCCTCCCCAAGAGTGCGGCCGGTGCCGCCTCGTTCGGCGGCGGAAATTCCTGATTTCCCACAGAAACGGGACCCGTGGCTAATCCACGCCCCTTTGATCCATGTTTGCGATCTCCTGACGAACATGGACCCCCCCTGAGCCTATAGCTTAGCACGAAAATTATCCTTGCGAAGGACCCAACCATATGCAAACGTGAATACCGCAGGGCAGGTGGGACGAAGCAAAAGGAATTCCCAATATGGCCACGAACCGTGTGAGGGGTGCGCCACGCTGGGGCGGGGCCGCCATGCGAACCCTGCCACTGAGGCCTTCGGTGGAGCTCCCTATGTCCCTACGGGGCCACGAACCGTGTGAGGGGTGCGCCAATATGGGGCGGGGCCGCCATGCGAACCCTGCCACTGAGGCCTTCGGTGGAGCTCCCTATGGGGCCACGAACCGTGTGAGGGGTGCGCCAAAATGGGGCGGGGCCGCCATGCGAACCCTGCCACTGGGGCCTTCGGTGGAGCTCCCTATGGGGCCACGAACCGTGTGAGGGGTGCGCCAAAATGGGCGGGGCCGCCATGCGAACCCTGCCACTGGGGCCTTCGGTGGAGCTCCCTATGGGGCCACGAACCGTGTGAGGGGTGCGCCAAAATGAGGCGGGGCCGCCATGCGAACCCTGCCACTGGGGCCTTCGGTGGAGCTCCCTATGGGGCCACGAACCGTGTGAGGGGTGCGCCAAAATGGGCGGGGCCGCCATGCGAACCCTGCCACTGGGGCCTTCGGTGGAGCTCCCTATGGGGCCACGAACCGTGTGAGGGGTGCGCCAAAATGGGCGGGGCCGCCATGCGAACCCTGCCACTGGGGCCTTCGGTGGAGCTCCCTATGGGGCAACGAACCGTGTGAGGGGTGCGCCAAAATGAGGCGGGGCCGCCATGCGAACCCTGCCACTGAGGCCTTCGGTGGAGCTCCCTATGGGGCCACGAACCGTGTGAGGGGTGCGCCAAAATGGGCGGGGCCGCCATGCGAACCCTGCCACTGGGGCCTTCGGTGGAGCTCCCTATGGGGCCACGAACCGTGTGAGGGGTGCGCCAAAATGGGGCGGGGCCGCCATGCGAACCCTGCCACTGGGGCCTTCGGTGGAGCTCCCTATGGGGCCACGAACCGTGTGATGGGTGTGCCGAAATAGAAGCATGCGGAGGGTGATGGTGATGATGACGACCATGTTGGTGCTGATGATGATGACGATGACGATGATGATGATGGTGGGTGATGACGATGATGCTGATGATGATGAGACGAGGAGGGAGGAGGCAGCGGGAAGAGGAGGAAGGAGGAAAGAACGCGGGGCACCGTCTCTTCAAAACGAGGACCCAACACCACAAGATGGTTGGGAATGATTACTCCGATCCTCGTGAGGGGTGTGCCGACATGGGGCGGGGCCGTCATGCGAACCCTGCCACTGGCGCCTTCGGTGAAACTCCCTATGAGGTCACGAACCGTGTGAGGGGTGTGCCGAAAAAGGGCGGGGCCGCCAAGCGAACCCTGCCACTGGCGCCGTCGGTGGAGCTTCCTATGGGGCCACGATTCTCGTGAGGGGTGCGCCGACATGGGGCGGGGCCGCCATGCGAACCCTGCCACTGGCGCCCTCGGTGGAGCTCCCTACAGGGCCACGATCCTCGTGAGGGGTGCGCCGACATGGGGCGGGGTCGCCATGCGAACCCTGCCACTGGGGCCTTCGGTGGAGCTCCCTATGGGGCCACGATCCTCGTGCGGGGTGCGCCAGATTGGGGCGGGGCCGCCATGCGAAGCCTGCCACTGGGGCCCTCGGTTGAACTCCCTATGGGGCCGCGAACCGCGTGAGGGGTGCGCCAGAATGGGGCGGGGCCGCCATGCGAACGCAGCCACTGGGGCCTTCGGTGGAGCTCCCTATGGGGCCACGAACCGTGTGAGGGGTGCGCCAAAATGGGGCGGGCCGCCAGCGAACCTGCGAACCCGGCCACTGTCGCCTTCGGTGCAAGCTCCCTATGGTTCACGAACCGTGTGAGGGGTGTGCCGAAAAGGGGCGGGGCCGCCAAGCGAACCCTGCCACTGGCGCCTTCGGTGGAGCTTCCTATGGGGCCACGATTCTCGTGAGGGGTGCGCCGACATGGGGCGGAGCCGCCATGCGAACCCTGCCACTGGCGCCCTCGGTGGAGCTCCCCACAGGGCCACGATCCTCGTGAGGGGTGCGCCGACATGGGGCGAGGTCGCCATGCGAACGCAGCCACTGGGGCCTTCGGTGGAGCTCCCTATGGGGCCACGAACCGTGTGAGGGGTGCGCCAGAATGGGGCGGGGCCGCCATGCGAAGCCTGCCACTGGGGCCCTCGGTTGAACTCCCTATGGGGCCGCGAACCGTGTGAGGGGTGCGCCAGAATGGGGCGGGGCCGCCATGCGAACGCAGCCACTGGGGCCTTCGGTGGAGCTCCCTATGGGGCCACGAACCGTGTGAGGGGTGCGCCAGAATGGGCCGGGGCCGCCATGCGAACGCAGCCACTGGGGCCTTCGGTGGAGCTCCCTATGGGGCCACGAACCGTGTGAGGGCAGGTGTCAGCCGAAATGGGGCGGGGCCGCCATGCGAACGCAAGCCACTGGGGCCTTCGGTGGAGGCTTCCCCATGGGGACACGATCCTCGTGAGGGGGTGCGCCAGAAATGGGGCGGGGCCGCCATGCGAACGCAGCCAAATGGGGCCTTCGGTGGAGCTCCCTATGGGCCACGATTCCTCGTGAGGGGTGCGCCCAGGAATGGGCGGGGCCGCCATGCGAACGCAGCCATGGGGCCTTCCGGGTGGAGCTCTGAGCTCCCCTATGGGGCAACGAACCGTGTGAGGGGATGCGCCAGAATGACGTGGAGAATGGGGCGGGGCCCGCCATGCGAAACGCAGCCATGGGGCCTTGGTGGCAGCTCCCTATGGGGCAAGAAAACCTGTGAGGGGTGCGCCAGATGGGGAAGGGGCGCCCCCACATGCGAACGCAGCCACTGGGGCCTTCGGTGGAGCTCCCTATGGGGCCACGAACCGTGTGAGGGTTGCGCCAGAATGGGGCGGGGCCGCCATGCGAACGCAGCCACTGGGGCCTTCGGTGGAGCTCCCTATGGGGCCACGAACCGTGTGAGGGGTGCGCCAAAATTCGGGGCCGCCATGCGGACCCTGCCACTGGGGCCTTCGGTGGAGCTCCCTATGGGGCCACGAACCGGGTGAGGGGTGCGCCAAAATGCGGGGCCGCCATGCGGACCCTGCTACTGGGGCCTTCGGTGGAGCTCCCTATGGGGCCACGAACCGTGTGAGGGGTGCGCCAGAATGGGGCGGGGCCGCCATGCGAAACGCATCCACTGGGGCCACTTCGGTGGAGCTCCCTATGGGGCCACGAACGTGTGAGTGGGCGCCCAGAATCGGGGCGGGGCCGCCATGCGAACACCACAGGATGGTTGGAAACTAATGGCCATGGCGATGATGATGACGATGATGATGCTAGTGGTGATGATGACGATGATGATGATGATGATGATGATGATGATGATGATGACGATGATGGGAGAAGAGAGGAGGGCAGCGGGAGGTGAGACGCGGGGCGCTGTCTCTTCAAAACGAGGACCCAACACCACAGGATAGTTGGGGAAAAATGCCTGCCCAAAGGATTAAAGCCCGAAGCCCACGGACCCCAGAGCCTGAAGTCAGGGAAGAACGCCGGGATTGAAAAACCCATGTCGCTGGAGGCCGTTCCCCTTCGCGAGGCGAGGCCCGAAAGAAAATCGGGACTTCGCGCAGGTCGGGACCCGCGTTCATCTGCACGCCTCTGCGGCCCAGCGCTGCCTGAAAAAGCAGCGGGGGGGAGGGAATGGCATGCAAGTGTAAGCTTGCCAGAGTCTCCATCGCAACACCTCCTGGCAGGCCTGAGAACCGAAAGGCCGCCCGCCCGAACGACCCCGCGACCCGTGGGCGGTCGCCTGGCCGCGCCAGCCGTGGCGACGCCGGGCGGCCCGCCAGCGGCCGCTGCCATCGCGACGCCCCACGCCAGGCGGAGAGGCGGCCGGCGAGCTATCTTTCCAGAGGGCAGTTTGGCTTAGGAACAGTGGGGCCCAGCCTCCCATGCATCTTCCCAAATCTCCGGCAATCTGCGCGTTTCATCCCCAGCGTTTTCCCTCGACGCATGCCTCAAGGGTCCGTTGACGTGCCAGGGGGCCATCGAACACAAATCCAGGGCGAAAAACCAACCCTGGGGAAGCGGTCGGAACCTCTGGGGCCGCGGACGTACACAAATGACGGCATAGGCGGATGTCAAGTTTTTGTTCGCACGTGTTGCGAAGGTGCGCACGTAAACGGCGATTGTGCCTTATGGGCCATCGCCAGGGCCCCACAAGCACGCCACGCGTCCTGGGCCAATAGGCACTGTGTTATTGAAGGGGCCCTGGGACACACAAATAAATAGACACAAATAACAGGATTCCCCACATTTGTTTATATGTTCTGGGTGCTCGTCTTCCCCCCCACTTCCCATATCTTCCCATATTTTCCTGGGGTTCGACGACTCATTGTGTCTGTGTGTTTCTTTCCCTCCTGAGTTATATCGTGGTCGGCCCAGGCAGCGCAGCGGGTTGACCCCTGAGGGGACGGCGTGGCAAGCAGCGCGCCATGTGGGAGTGCGCAAGTCCGCGTTTACTGGCACAGCGCAGTGCTGAAGGGGGGGCTTCCCTGACAAACTTCTCGTTGTGAAAAACGCGACGTTTGTTTTTTGGGTCGTGTTCTGTACGCTTGGGGGGCCCTCGTCGCCACAGCTGGATTCGCCTCCATATTCTGGTCAGAACGCAGCCCAGGAGGTCCAGGGAGTGGCGAGATCGGCATCTCTCGGGCGTTGGCAGAACTGGGTTTAGTGGAACCTGGTTTAGTGATTTGTACTGGGGGCGCCCCCCCGTCTCATTTCCACAAACGGAACTGCCGTCACCCGAAAAACACCAGTCACGGCAAACCTGGTTTAGTGAATCTGGCCAATTGAGGGGCCCCAGGGCCCTACCAAGAAACGGGGTCCCCTTACCCGGGTCCTGGCTATACCCGAATCTCTCCCCGACATCCTCTCGCCGTGACAGGAAAACATCACGGCGGGAGGTGTCTGGCAAGCTTCGGCCTCCAGGGGGCCCGCGGCCTCTGGACTCGAGCCGAGGTGGTGCTCTGGCCGAGGCCAGCGCCACCCCTCGGTGACGGCGCGACGGCGTCGCCGCAGTTCGGCGGAGGACTCCAAGGACGGCCTGCTCCCTCCCCTGGCTGCATTGATAGACTTAGGTCGGGCATGTCCTCTCACAGGCGGATCTGCTAAGAAAAATGCAAGCATAGCAAGACAATAAGCAAGCAGAGTCAAAAGAGCACGAAACATCGTCAACATCTTGTTATTGTACTATGTTTGAAAATTTCTCCTGTAGAGGGACATGCCCGACTCAATGATAGACCTCCAACTCCAACCTCCATCCCCCCCGTTCGCCCAATTCGTGGGCCCCCGATCTCGAGAATTCGCCGCCGGAACTCTCTGGTGGTGCGCTCTGATCCTGATTTGCCGAGGAGCCCAACCTCGGCGTCCTGAAAGGCCCCCCTGGAGAAGCCCAGGGGGGAAAAACATAAACGATCAGAAGAAACATCGACCATGGTTGGACCGTCCCTGGAGGGTCAGTCGGCACTGGTTACACGGGGGACGAGAGTGGGAAGAGCTGATGGAACTGGTGGAGTGGGAATGGCGCGAGCCCCGATACAGTGAACCTGTGAGAGGAGGACGAGGAGGAGGAGGAGGAGGAGGAGGAGGAGGAGGAGGAGGAGCAGGGTGTTCTTGGCTTTGGAGGCCTTCTCAGCACGACTGAGGACCTTGGGCCAGAGCCCTCTTGCAATACGCTTGAGGTATTCACTTCCCGTGGAAGTTGGGCTTCTCGCAAAGGTCACCGAGTTTCCCGAGGACCTGCTGCGCATACGCGCCACAAACAGTGCAAAACCAAAATTTCAGCCCAACGTGAAACCTTAAACAGTGCTACGGTGTACAAACCCCCAGCGATGTAGACCTTCATCACAAGAGGAGCCTCCTTAAATGTGCCATCTATATTTGTTCGAAGCATTCACTCTGGAGCCAAAGGGACCTCGAGGCCTTGATGGAGGAACTGAAACACCTAGCACATATGAGGAGGAGGCGGAGGAGGGGACAAGGAGGAGAAGGAAGGGGGAAGAAAAGGATGCTCTGGGGAAACCGAGAACCCCACTCAGGAGGTGGGAAACAACAACTATTATAAACGGCATCGGCCCGCCATCCTCCCAACCATCTTCCCTGCTCCCTCAACAGCTGTCGCGGCGGCGCGCAGCTTGGAGGTTTGGATTTGGGCACCATTACCAGCAAAAGGAGGTGCCTCCACCTGGGGAAGATGATTCTGGATGTCGGCCCTGGTGGTAATATTCTGGCCATAAACCAGGCCCGAACATATTACGCCCAGATCGGGAACATCTTCCCTCGATGCAGGCACACCGCCAATATGGTATCGGCGGTGTGCCTGCACCGAGGGAAGATGATCCCGACCTCTGTTCCTGGTGCCGGTGCCAACCTCTAGGCCTCCGAGCCGCGTTCGTTTGGCGGCGCTCGCACCCCCCGCCCGCGCCCCTGCGCTGCGGCACCGCGGCGGCGGCGGCGCCGCCTGTCGGCCCCTACGGCTACACGCCCCCGCCGCCGCGGCTTCCGGCGCGGCGGCGACTGGGCCTGGACCTCCGGCGGCAGAGGCTGCCGCTTCAGGCCCAGCCTGCGGGTGAAACGCCCCCTACCGCGGCCACCCTGCTGGTGGAGGGTCGCGTCCGAGCCCCGCGAAGTCGAGCATCCGCCCAGCCCCCGGACGGCAGGCTCGTGTCGTGACGACCCCGGCGTTGGTCTCTGGCACCGCGGGGCTCGTTCAGCCTTGAACGATCGGCCGCTCCCGACACGTCAGACAGCTCGACACCGACCGATTCTGGGTCGCCGGCGGCGCTCAACGTTGAACGCCAGCGGCGGGGTCGCCGCCCGTCGACACGACACGAACCTACCGTACCCAGACCCCCGACGTCATGATGACCCCCAAAGTCTGGACCCATTCCCTGGGACCGGCTTTTCATCCTGAGTCGTTTTTTCCCAACCCTCCTTGGTTGGGTACTTGTTTTGAATAGAGCACTGCGGTCTCCACCTTCCTTCCTTCCTTCCTTCCTTCCTTCCTTCCTTCCTTCCCGCCCCCTCCCGCCTCCTCCTCTCTTCTCTTGCGGGAGGGGCTGCGATCTGTGAAACTGTCGCCACTTTCGAGGGCTGCTGGGGGGCCCAGCGGAGTGACGCCCTACGGGGACTCAGATTAGACCTCGCCATCCCTGGGGGGCTGCGATCTGTGAAACTGTCGCCAATTTCGAGGCCTGCTGGGGGGCCCAGCACAGTGACGCCACACGCAGATTCAAATTAGACCTCGCCATCCCTGGGGGGGCTGCGATCTGTGAAACTGTCGCCACTTTCGAGGGCTGCTGGTGGGTCCAGCGGAGAGAGGCACCACGGGGATTCAGATTAGACCTCGCCATAACTTGGCGGGGCTGCGATCTGATGAAAACTGTCGCACTTCGAGGGTTGTCCGTTTTGCTGGGGGGGGGCCCAGCGAATTGACGCCCTACGGGGATTTCAGATAAGACCTGCCATCCCTGGCGGGGCTGCGATATGTGAAACTGTCGACACTTTCGCAGGATTGCTGGGGGCCAGCGGAGTGACGCCCTACGGGGATTAGATAAGACTCGCCATCCTGCGGGGGTGCGATCTGTGAAACTGTCGCCACCGTCGAAAGCCTGCTGGGGGGCCGCCCAGCGGAGTGACGCCTTAGGGGGATCAAAATTAGACCTCGCCCATCAATGGGGGGCTGCGATACCTGATGAAAACTGTCGCACTTTCGAGGTTGCTGGGGGGGCCCCAGCGGAGTGGACGCCCTACGGGGATTTTCAGATTAGACCTCGGGGGGGGGGGCCATCCCTCGGAGGGGCTGCGATCTGTGAAACTGTCGCCACTTTCGAGGATGCTGGGGGGCCCAGCGGAGTGACGCCCTACGGGGATTCAGATTAGACCTCGCCATCCCTGGGGGGCTGCGATCTGTGAAACTGTCGCCACTTTCGAGGATGCTGGGGGGCCCAGCGGAGTGACGCCCTACGGGGATTCAGATTAGACCTCGCCATCCCTGGGGGGCTGCGATCTGCGAAACTGTCGCCACTTTCGAAGCTGCTGGGGGGCCCAGCGGAGTGACGCCCTACGGGGATTCAGATTAGACCTCGCCATTCCTGGGGGGCTGCGATCTGTGAAACTGTCGCCACTTTCGAGGGCTGCTGGGGGGCCCAGCGGAGTGACGCCCTACGGGGATTCAGATTAGACCTCGCCATCCCTGGGGGGCTGCGATCTTTGAAACTGTCGCCACTTTCGAGGGCTGCTGGGGGGCCCAGCGGAGTGACGCCCTACGGGGATTCAGATTAGACCTCGCCATCCCTGGGGGGCTGCGATCTGTGAAACTGTCGCCACTTTCGAAGGCTGCGTGGGGGGCCAGCGGAGTGACGTCCTACGGGGACGCAGTTTAGACCTCGCCAGCGCTGGGGAGCTACGATCTGTGAAACTGTCGCCCATTTCGGAGGGCTGCTGGGGGGACCCAGCGGAGTGACGCTTTACGGGGAGGGGACTCAGATTAGGACCTCGCCATCCCTGGGGGGTTGCGATCTCTGCTGAAACTTTTTCGACACTTCGAGGGCCTGCTGGGGGGCCCAGCGGAGTGACGCCCTACGGGGATTCAGCTTAGACCTCGCCATCCCTGGGGGGCTGCGATCTGTGAAACTGTCGCCACTTTCGAAGGCTGCGTGGGGGGCCCAGCGGAGTGACGCCCTACAGGATACATATTCGACCTCGCCATCCCTGGGGGGCTGCGATCTGTGAAACTGTCGCCACTTTCGAAGGCTGCTGGGGGGCCAGCGGAATGACGTCTACGGGGACTCAGATTAGAC